ACTTATCTTTTGGAAAACCAGCTCAGATTCCCTTCTCTTTGAGACCTCAGTTGTGCAGTAATTGCTGGGTATCAAAATTAATTGAAAACTCATCTAACAGAACTGCAGTCTGCCATTTACACATCTTACTACTACGCAGTGATCAGTAACCATGCTAAAAACCACAAGTGAGCAGCCCAACAGAGATATCATAGAGGATATTTTTCCCAGTAGTCAAGAAAAATGATAGACCAAGCAGGCAGAGGAGTAAAATCCACCTTGAGCAAACCCGCCTGTACACAAACTCTTAGACACAAACACAAACTCTTAGACACAAACACAAACACAAACTCTTAGACAAGGATCATGAAGTGCTGTAGAATCATTACTGAAGCCTAATGCCAGAATGCATCAGTTCATTCTCCTCTACTTCATTATTTAAGACCCATTTTCTGTGGGTGTGTGTTGTTGTTGTTGGTTTATTACAAATGCTTGTTCTGCTTCAAGGGGAAGCATTTCCAGTTCCCAAGAAATAATCTGCAAAACAAGACTCTTCTCAACACTCTGTTACAACTTTGTAATTTATAAAGTACCAATGAGCTCATTCGAAACATCCCTGGTTGACAAACACGCGCTTTGCAACACTCAGCTGGCTCCAAAAACGCCACTGGAGATGCTGACAGGGATCTTCCTCCTGAACATCACTTGCACAGCACTGAACACGCCACACAAAACAGCTACAACAAATCCAAGCCACATGCTCAATACTAACTCCTATGCACTATCACATACACCAACCATAGCCGATGAGTTAACAGACCCCCAAGGCTGGCCAGCCCCCAGACCTCTGGGAACACACTTTTTTACCAAAATGCCAGCAATTCAGACCACAAGGAGATAGGGAAGCAGCACTGAGGTCACTGGCACAATGTGAACACTGCTGCAAGCTTATGGTCACAAAAAATCTACCACATTTTGACAGTTTCCTTCTTTTCACCAACTTACTCCAATCCTGTCAGCTACCATATACCCTCGATGCCACAGCAATAGCTACTGCACACATCTACAAGAACACTGGGGTAAAATTCCAGCCATCATAACCAGAATTAGTATTTTAAAAAAGAAAAGCCTTGTTTTCTGTTTGTTTTTTTAAGATCCAGTATGACATTTGCTGAATGGTGCCCTGAAGTCTACTTGAGCTTCAGATCCCGCATTAGGTACAAAAGTATTGATGCCAGCATGGAACATACCATTAGAGACGGATCGATGTTGTCAGGGAGAGTGACAAAGCTGCTGTAACACAGCCCAAGAAAACACTCCTTTGCAATTAGAGAGAGGTAATAGAAATCAGAGACAGATATTCAGCCTTTAAGACATTCTGTTTAAATCCCTATTGATCATCTCTGAGATGATGTCTACTTTTTGCCAAATTAGGATTTTATTACCACTACAGTGGAAGTGTCTAGAAACAATAATTTCTCACAGAACAACTTATGCATCTAGTCAGAGCAGGAAACTGCCTTGGCTAAAGCTCACCTCAAAAAACCCCAAGCCCACCAGTTTGATTTTGCATGGTCAACTCCTGATGCAACTCACTGTGCTGGAACTCACACCAGCGCAGTGCTGGGCAACCACAGGAGTCAAAGCTTCCACGAGCTTAAACAGGCCCGATGCTGCTGCCTCAGCTTGATCCTGGTAAGGTTCAGTAAATGCTTTGTAACTAAAATCACCAGCACCCATAAATTGATTATAAAATCCAAACCAAATGGTTAGTGCCAGAAGGAGAGGTCTGATGAACAGCAGATTAAAATGCACACTGGTTCCTCATCAGCAGAGGTAATCCAAGATGTACACACAAAACAGAAATGCAGTTTACATGCTAAAAAATAATTCAAGGAGTCATCTGATTGAGAAACAGAGCTACAGTTAAAAACTGGTTTTCAACACCAGCCCTTACACAACCACGTTAAGGGCTTCGGGGTTTCCCCCCTCCTTTTTTTTGCGCTGTGTCAAACAGCTCTTTTCCGCTGCATTTAACAGTTGCTGAAGAAGGTCTGTGCCTTGGCCACATTGCTACTAAAATCATTTTTCAGTACAACATCTTCTTGAAAACTGCTTAAAGGAACAACTCCTGTTGCAGCGCTCTGCGGCCTGATGCTTTACTCAGGCAGAGAACACTCACTCACCTCTGCCCTGCTGCTGCTGCCAGCACATAATTCAGATTAACACAGCATCAACTCCTGCTCACTGATGCTTTTGCCGTGTCTGTAACTTCCACTGCAGGTTTGCAGCTCCTGTATCGGCAACTCTAACCCAAAGTCATCATCAGAATTACACACTTCCATTTGTAAATACAAGACCAAGAAAATCACTATCCAGACATACAAGTTTCCAGGATCTTAACTACAGGCCAAGCTCAGCTATTCAAAGAATGGCTTTGCAGGGAAACCCCCACATCCCCCTCGAAGAGTTGGAGGAGCTGACTGTACATAACCTTATTATTCTCTTACTAAATGAGTAGCTCCTATAAATGCAAATTACTGCGAATGCTCTCCACCACTGAAGCCAAAGAAAACCGAAATGCAGCACACTGGTTCCATACATTCACCCCGCAGCGGTTGTACAATCGTAGTTTCTCGTGCCTACAGATCCTCCCCAGCTTTGCTGCAGCATAAACACAGGCAGACTTGGCCACTGCACAGAAAAAGAGACTTTGGGAGCTGAAGCAAGCAGCTTAACGCAGCGTAATGATGGAATAATCATTTTAAAAGTCACGGTCTCCTTTAAAACAGCACAACAAACCCTGCCTGGGGTCACCAGGAGAAAGCTCACACTGGGGCCGGAGCGTGAGCTCCCCAGCAGGGCACATCAGGAGTCGCTCGCTGTTTACCTTGGACAGCTCAGAGCAGCTCAGGGCAGCGCAGGGTTGCACAAGAACAGAGATTCTTTGTGCCCCTGCGGGGACCTCACCTCTGCACCTCACTCCCCCGACTTACAATGATTCTTTCAAAGAACTCACCACACTGCAGCATTCTGTCGCTCAGCCTGTGTCTGAGGATGTCCACAGCTGGTGGCACAGCTGCTGCGACGTGGGGAGCACATCTGGCCACATAGAACCCTACACACTTGGCTCTGTGTCCTGCTCCAGCAGGGAAATGAGAGGGAGATCACAGAGGAAGCCTAAGCCACCTCTTTCTTGTAAGTGTGCAAATTCAGGGTCCAAACCCTGGATCCAGGAGAGTAACAAAGAAGAAAAACACCATCTAGAGCTTGAAAAATCAACATTGCTGTTTTGAGGGAACCTCATGATACCATTACCTTGAACTAAACTACTTGCAGCTGAAGGCATTCATCTCCGTGCTTGGAGGCCTCAGTCCTGATTGTGATGCATTTCTTTAATATCTTTCAGACATTCCAAATACTATTATGTAGTTAGGAATTTCTTTTCTATCAAATTATTTAATAAAAACATGCTGAAGACATTAGGAAACATTGCGACACTGCGCCATCATCATTAGTGCTTCTCAGTTTTAAACCCACAGATTAGCATTCCTGCTTTAACTAAGCTTTTACATGCTGGTTTGCATACTGTCTACAGCAAACCATGTACAAAGACATTCTGATCTCCTCCACAGCCAGTAGGAGCAAGTACATGAGTGACTGTCTCATGTGAAAGTACAATCCAGCTACAGGGATGTGTGTGCCTGTGGACATGTTTTATACACAAACTATGGGGTTTTTACGTGATTTTTATTTCATTCCCCTTCAGTCAAATGGCCACCTATGGATAGCTACACCATTACAATACATCCTGCTTGAAGAAATTAAACTCAACCAGGAGCTTTGGGTTCAAAATATTCAGGTTGAAAATAAAGCCACCAACTTTTTACTCCCTGTGCTTTTGACCAGCACAGGCACACGCAGCTTTTGGTAACACCTACAAATGCACAAGCAAACCCTTTCACAGCACTAGCACACAGGCTGATAAAGCACTGAACTGCATACTTGGGGACACAGAGAATCAGGTTTGTGTCACTAAGGTCATCACTAGAGACTGCTGAGATGTGTTAGCAGCAGCTCACCAAGACACCTTCTGCAAGTGGCCTGCACGCAAAGCCCACTCTGCCTGCAGGAAAAGCCTGTCTGGAGGCACTGGGATTTTGCTGAATGTTTCCAAACATCACCATTAACCTGGTTTTTCTCCCCCGTTTTCACACCAGTAACATCCACACCAGCACAAGCTCCCCACGTGGGGCTTCTGGGGAGTTAGGGGGTTTCAGGGGGGGCCTTTCTCTCAAAGTAAGACTGCAAGGTCCGTAAGAGGGAGCTCAAACACAGCTCCGGCTGGAAGCCCTCAAAACTAAGGGGTTTTAACAATGTAGGTTACAAAAAAAAAAAACCAATTGTGGAATCCTGAGAGCATCTTCAGCTGAATGAGAACCACCTTTAAAATGTACGTCATAGCTGCACCCAAATTTTCTTTAATAATCTTACATTCTCCATCATCTGAAGAGCCATACATGGAACAGCTCAGCACTACCTGTGGTATCCTGCATGTTCATGTCTGGTTAATTCTAATTTGCAAGGGCAGCAACAGCCTTGAACAGTGAATCCAACTGGGCTGTGTTACAGCAGAAATGGAGAGCAGGCCCTGGTAAACAGCCTCTCCTTGAGCAACCAATGCAGTTCTGAAATTCCATGTCTCACATAAAAAAAGCAGCAGAAACAGCAGCAGAATAAAGGAGTCAATGTCACACAGGGAAAAAAAGCCTCCCCCTCTTCTCACCCACTTTGTTACTATGGGACTCGCAGAAATCTCTGGATTATAAACACGAAGGTCCCACTCACAAGACAATTAAGCAGCTCCAGAGATTCTATCGGCCACCCACCCACCACCACGACTCTCCCCAAGGTCTGTGTCTGCCAGCAAACCCAATACACGTTCTGCAATGTGTCAGCTCCAACCAGGCCCTGGCTGCTCCCGAGAACAGGGGGAATGCTCCTGAAACCAAAGGGATTCATTTTTCAAAGGAATTCTCTTATTCAAGTGAATGGTGAGGGCAACAGAGAAAGGAGGAGTTGACATCATGTTCTAGTTTGTCCTGGGCAAGAAAGAGGCATCATAACTTCAAAATCTCAGCTGGAGCAACCAGCAGGAATAGGCAGAAGACGACCAGGTCAGAAAGGAACCTCAGAAACAGCACGTGTGGAACAGCAGTTCCCCGGTCTGCTATGACCAGCCCCAAACACGAAAGCAGCCAGGATGGTAACACTGCAAACACTGCAAAAAGACAATTACTAATAATGAAAAGGCAACCGAAATTCTGGGCTGCTTCCACAAACTGAGTAACGCATCTGCACAGTGACAGCAGCAAAGTGTGTTTTGCCAAATGAAATGAGAGCAAACGGCAAACTTGTGCTTAACCCCTTTTTGCTTTTATGCTGCATTTTAAACACAGATGAAATCATGGAATTTAGAAGAAAAAGTCTACAAAGAAGACATTTTATTCAGCTATTTGGTCAGTGTTTCCATCACTTCAGTACCCAGAATCCTCAGAAAACTTATTCATCTTGGGTCCTTTCCTCAATACCAGGTTCTTGAAAATAAGATGGACTTCCATCTGCAAAACCAGGGTCAGGAACCCTCAGATTCAGGAAGAACTGAATCAGGATTCGGACTTATCTTGCGGAAGGTGACTGCTAAACCTAAGAGTTAACCTGCAATTACAGACTCTCCAGAACACTCAGCTCTCGAGTGGCTGCAAAGACCAACCACCAAAAGGCAAAATCCTGGGTACTGAGCTACTCAGGCAGAGATGCAAGAATCAAGAAGGCTCCATCGACTGCAAACATCCCTAAAGCATCCTGGCTCTTCTCTCAACTAACTCCATCAAGAACTCCACCAGCATCCTCTAAGAGGCATCACCAACAAAGCTTTGGCCTCGCGCCTTCCCAAGCAGGAGCTGTCAGAAGCACTGTGGCCTTTCTTTGATATCTGACCAGCAGCAGCACCAATTCCAAACAAGGATTCCCCCTATCCTGACACGAAGGAATAAGAGGAAACACGTTCCTGTAAATCCAAGGGTATGTTCTCCTGTTCTCGCATTCCTGTGAAGGTTCAGGCACAAACAACTTCAGAAATTTTCCTTTAAACAGTTAAAAGAAAACCCAAAACGTTGACACAAGCAAGTGAGGCAAAATCCCTGCAGAAAAGCTCTGACATCCCTATGTCTAAACCAGAAGAGGCATCTGATGTTTGGAAAGCACATTTGTTATGCAGGTAATTTCTGCTGATGGGCTTTGCAGAGGCATCACAAGCCAAGGAGGGTTTGGAAGTGCAGCAATTTGCACCTACGACAACTGGAGTGTAACAGGAACGACATTAACGACACCGAGCCCAGCAGCACCCACCCAGGCTCTGCACACCCATGGGTGCTCCACAGCAAGGGAACCAGGGCTTTACCTGCCCGCACTGGAGGGATGCTCCGCAGGGCCCTGCGGGAAGCAAGCGCTCCTTAGGTAGGCAGGAGCAAGGCTGGGACCCCCCCCCCCGCCCCAATCTGGGCCGAAGAACCGGGAGACCCCCTCTGAGATACGGGTGAGGAACCGAGCCCCCCCCCTCAGAGCCTGTCTTGAGGAACCGGGGACCCCCGCTCAGAGCCTGACGAAGGAACCGGGACCTCCCTTCGATCCCGGTGAAGGAACCGGAGCCGTCCTCAGCCCCATCCCAGGGCAGAGCTGTCTCCCCCCCCACCCCACAGGAACCCCCGCGCAGCCGGGCCCGCTCCGGCGGAGCCATGACGGAGCTGTCCCGACCCTGCCACGGGGCAGAGCCCCCCCTCCGCCTCGAGAACGGGGGACTCCCCCTCCCAGTGCGCGCCAGGCCCTGCCCGGCCGCGCCAGCCCGGCGGCAGGTGCCGCTCTCCGGAGGATGCTCCGGGCCGGGGCCCGGTACCCGGGAGGCAGATGGGGGGGGGGGGGGTGGGTGTTAACGGGGTACCGGGGGGGGGCCAGCACCGGGGGCACCGCCCGCCCCCAGCAGGGGGCGCTGCCCGCCGCCCCGCCCGCCGCCGCTGCCCCCGGGCTGAGGGGAGCCGCGGGGGGCGCCGCCCCTCCCCCCCCCCCCACCCCTCCGGAGCCGCCGCGGCGGGGGCGCGCGGGCGGGCGGCGGGGCGCGGCGCCGTCCTCACCCGGTGCGCGCGGGTCAGGCTGAGGTCCTTCATGACCTCCTCGAAGGCCGCCGTCTCCTCCGCCTGCTTCTGGTTGTGCAGCGCGATCTTCTCGCTGAATTTCCGCGGGTTGTTCGAGGCCGCCATCTTCCCCCGTCCGCATCCCCCTCCCCGCGCCGGAGGGGGGGGGAGGCGGGCGACGCGCATGCGCCGCGCACGGCCCCGCCGGGAGGGACCGCAGCGCGCGTGCGCGAAGGGAGGGGGCGGTGAGGGGGCGCGCGGGCGCATGCGCGGCGCCGGGCGGGAGCGCTGAGGCGATGGCGGCGGCTGTGTGTCGCCGCCGCCCCCACTGGGTCCTGGTGTCCCCCTGAGCCGGGGCTGGAGCCGCTCTGCCATGGGGACAGGCTGAGAGAGATGGGCTGGAGAAGAGAAGGCTCCTTAAGGGGAGACCTTAGGGCAGCTCCAGTGCCTGAAGGGGCTGCAGGAAACCTGGAGAAGGGCTTGGGACAAGGGATGTAGGGACAGGCCAAGGGGAGTGGCTTTAACCTGCCCGAGGGGAGTCTGAGATGAGCTCTTAGGCAGGAGCTCTTCCCTGGGAGGGTGCTGAGGCGCTGGCACAGGGTGCCCAGAGAAGCTGTGGCTGCCCCATCCCTGGCAGTGCTCAAGGCCAGGTTGGACACAGGGGCTTGGAGCAAGCTGCTCGAGGGGAAGGGGTCCCTGCCCGTGGCAGGGGTTGGAGCTGGAGGAGCTTTAAGGTCCCTTCCAACACAGACCGGTCTGTCGTTCTTTGCCAAGGCAAAACAAGGGTGTTTGTGTGTCCCCACTGGGTGCTCAGACACCAAACTCCTCCCAAGGCATGAGGCAAGTTCCAAATCTCTAAAAAGCCAGGTATTCTTCAACCAGCACATCTAAACTCTCAGTTCTACATCTTGGTCTTCTGTCTAAGCTCCCTCAGGTTTGCTGCCTTGGCTTAGAGGGGGTTTTCCCTCTGGATGGAGCAGTGTGTGCAACAGGGAAAGAAAGGGAGGAGAAAACAAGCTATGCATTCATTAGCAAGGCTTTTAGAACGAGCAGCAGTTCCTATGCTGCCTCTTAGAATCATAGAATCCAGCCTGGTTTGGCTTGGAAGGGACCATCCAGTTCCAACCCCTGCCACAGGCAGGGACACTTTCCACTAGAGCAGCTTGCTCCAAGCCTGTGTCCAGCCTGGCCTTGAACACTGCCAGGGATGGGGCATTCCTCCTGCAAGATAAGCAGAGCCCATACCCGCACAGCAGGAATCTGGTACTAAGGTCCCAAATCAAGTCCTGATTCCTGGAAGAGGTTCAGGAGCCCGGCACCCTCCTGTTTCCCTGCTGCTCAGGTGTGTTGTCCAGCGAAGCAGCAGCTGAGCCTGCGGCTGTGTTCTAAGCTACCAGAACAAACTGGAGCCACGTTCCGGTGCAGGCACGACCCTGCTGCTAGGGGAGCAGCAGTTCCAGGGAGGACCGCCGGGTTGGAACACAGGCTTAGGCTGCTAAGCCATTGATTCCAGCTGTGCTAACATCAGGTGGGTGCAGAGCGCTGTGATGTGCAGGACGCACGCATTAGGCAGTAATAAATCCTGTTTCCCAACACCCACATGGTGCCCTTTACACTTTCCTTTTTACAAAGCACCACTAAATCAAGTGGACGCTCTGGGTTTTCGTGCATCGCTCTGGCCCTGAGCAGTGCTCACTCCAGTAACCAAACCCTGTCATGGCGAGAGCAAAGAAATGAAGCTCCATGCTCACTTCCATTGCTGATCACTCCGGGGCCTTGGTTCTCTCAGTTTACCAGGCATTTAGAAGTATTTCCTGCCCCCATAAAATAAGAGATTATAATTATCTTGTGCTGCAAGGCTGTTGGAGATGGATGGGTGAGACTCGCTTCAACAGCCAGGATTAGCATTAGCCACAAAGTCACGTCCTACCCTAAATTCTCGTTGCCAACTTGCACTTCCAAGTTTATAATGTGGTATGAGATACCATCGCACAATGCAGAGCTGGGCCTGAAAGCTCATCCAGGCCCTGGCAGGCTCAACCCTTCCTCTGTCATTCCTGACAGATGTTAGTCTAACCACTTCTTGCATTTTCCACTGGGAATAAACAACTGGAATGCATATTCAGTTAAATACCCTCGAGCTGTGTACATGAACAGCGTATGACCTGCAGAGTTGGCATGTCACGCTAAGAGCATATAAATCACAAAGATTTAGCACTAAGATACCCATTATCCACATTGGTTTTGCTCGAGAAGTGAGATGATTATAAATAATTTGTTGAGTTATCCTGGATTGAATACCATAGGTGGTAATAGCAAACATCTAGAGACCCAGCTGGCACTCTGCCTCTTGTCTAGCACCAAATGGTGAAGTGCCTAAGATGAAACTTGATAAACTTTCCCCTCTTGGATCTCCTGGAGATTGAAGAGGGTGAAATCTCCCATCTGATGGCTCCTGGTTTGCAGGGAAGGAACGCAGATGGCCATGGGGGCGGGGGGGGGGGGGGGGTGACGACTTCCTCCCTTAAGAAGACTCCCTTTTCTTATTGTTTCGCCTGTGCAGCGTTATCAGATGGAATTCCAGTGTGCAACCTGGCCCCGCTCCTGTTCTTAAACTCTCCCGTTTGAAAGCCGTTTGCGTAACAAACTTCTCTTCAATACAACATTTGTGTTCACAGAGTTGCCTCTGGAATTTCTCACCCACTCGCAGCTCCACGTTTTGGGCTGTGGGTGGATCTGAGTGGCTGCTAAGTGCATGACCCAGCAGACAATGTAAATCTTGACTGCATTAAGGCATTGGCAAGGAGACGTTTCAGGCGGGTGCCAGGTTTCCTCCTTCCTCCACTGAAGGAGATATGCCATGCATCTAACAGAATGATGAGCTCATACCCTTAACTATTATTTATGTCTCCTGCCGTCTTCACCTTGAGCACATATGGGGCCATGTGAGAACAACTTGATCTCACTAGAAAGCTGCGATGGGATCCCCTGAGACAGCAGTTCTGTCTCCTCCAGCCTTCCAGACACGTTATGAAGAAATTTCTTGTAACTGAGAACCGGAGCTTTGCTCTGAAGCAAACAAAGAGGCGTTGGAGGACCGGGCTGTTGTGTTCACATCTGCTTTTGTTACAAACAACTCCTTACTGAGCAACCTGCACCCAGAGCAAGAGGCTTGCAGGGAGGAGCTGGTGTTTACTCAGTGCTTGTTTGTTATCCTCCAGGTCCTTCGGAATTGCTCTGGCAGATGAGATCCAGCTACTTCCGTATTCTCCCTTGGAGGCTTCAGAGGAGGGTGTGAGGTTGAACAATTTACACAACAGCAGACAGCAGGAGGCTGTGCCCTCATCCACAAAGAAGACGACTTCTTTTTGCCTACAAAGGTTTTGATCTCCCACTTCAAACTGTTGCTCCTGTTGACATTCCCATTATCCTCAGAGAAGAATATCCTGTGTGAAGACCACAGAATCCCTACTTCCAACACTTCTGAACTGAGCTCTGAATTGTACTTTCAGTAGGAGAAAATGCTCTTGTTTCACTTGGGATTTGTGACCATTTCTTTACTTTAAGCTGTCCTTGTTTCCGGAGGGCAGATAAAAGCACCTGAATTACTTTCTACACTACTCATTGAATCTGATGAGCAGTCCAAGCAAATCAAGTGGCAGTCACACATGTGGCTTGGTTCTGCTCTGTTGTTACCAACATTCCCTTGTCATCCTTCCGGTTTAGTTTCTTTACCATCCCCTGTAAAACCTAAACTTACAGCGAGTAAACCAACATTGACTACTCAAAGGTACTACTCTCATTTCTACAAGTCACATCTCCCGGTGCTCTGAAATACTTGGCAGCCACACAGAGGATTCTGTTACTGATCTTTTTTTCCCAGAATTGAGCTCGGCTTCACGCCACACTAATGCAAGAAGTATTCCCATGATCCTGAGGTGATGTGGTGAGCTGGTGAGGCAGTAGGCACTTTATGTCTTTCCAAAGATAGCACTTGGAAGGCAGGCAAAGTGTTCTACATGGGTACATTCAGAGTCTGCACTAAAAGGGAGGCACCAGGAGGAATCGTGTGCTTCAGTGAAACAAGCAGGAAGCTGGAAAAGAGTTTTTACTACTAAGAGATTACACCATTGCAAATCGAATTGTAGAGCAGAGAGAGAAGCATGGCTGAGAGCAGGATGTTTCCTTCCACAGCCGCCTGTCAAATCCAACTGCAGAGAATTTAGTGACATTCTATACATAAAGTAGCAGGAAAAAGTTTTCTTTCAAGATCTTGTGGTTCAGCTTCAGAGATGTGCTGGAAGGGTCAGAAGGAACAGATTTACATCCACACAAACCCCATCCAAACAGGTTTGTAGACATTTCCTTAACGTTCATGTATAACAAACAGCTACAGGGAAGGCAACAATACCTGGTGTGAAATGGCACGACGCCCAGGCCTTGTCCTGCTCTCTCCTCCTACTGCAGAAACACAAAGCAGCAGATTTTCATGCTGAAAGTAGTTAAAAAGAAGAGAAGGCTCTAAGGGTGAAGGAGAATTCCATATGGTTTTCCTAGGAGGCTTCCCAGAGTCAACCACCTGCCTACTCCTCCTCTTCACATCCCAGTGCAAAACCAACCCTCTGCTATTTCCACACCTTAGGACAGTTGTCTACTTGCAAGTTAAAGGCTCGATGTTCATACCAAAGATAATAAGAAAACTCTAAGGGTGAAGGAGAATTCGGGGGGGGGGGGGGGGGTGTGTTGCAGGTACAGTTGTGGTTGCACAAAAACCCAACATACAGTCAAACCAGCTGAAAACCAGCTGAGCATCTGGCCTGGAATGGACGGTGCTGTGCTGGCTGTTCATGGGCACGTTTCTAGGTTAATGCTACCAACAGAAGCGGGAAGGAGAGGATCCCTCCTCCTCTATGCAGCCCCACACAAAGCAGAGGAAGGCTGCTGCAAGCAGCATGGGATGGCTGCCCCAGCCTGCTCAACCCAAGGGCTTGCATGTGGAGAGAATCTCTGCACATCCAAGGACCAAACCTGAACCCCTTCCATGATATATGCCCTGATTTTCCTAAGAAATAGCAAGTAGACACTTTTGGCATAAGCTTTCACCATCTGAGAACCCCAAAACATGCAAAATTCAGGTCCAGACATACTAACTGCACTGCAGGGCAAGCTTTCCTCTTCCAAACCTCAGGGAAATTCATACATTCCTTCTAAATCCAGTTGTAAACCACTGTCCTTAAGGCACTAATACTGAATGCAAGTATTGATACTGCCAAAGAGTAAAACTGCAACTGAAAGAGTATCACATGTTTATGCATAACCCCAGGCCACATTGGGGGGGGGGGGGGGAGAGAAGGATGTAGTTAAAGCAAACTTTGAGACACATCTGATTACAAACATCAGCAAGCAGATGTAACACACTTTGTAGTGCATTTTTAAAGCATTATGAATGGAAGATACACATCCAAACTATCCACCTCAGCTAAAAGGGTAAATCCTGCTCGAGGTCCTGCAGTGTTAACGCAGCACGGCTCCAGTGGCTGCAGAGGAAGGCTGCAGCCCCCGAGCAGTGGAGCCAGGCGCGGACTGGCTGGGGGCCTGCACAAACAGCCAGGAAAGAGGTCGTTTTATCAGAAGCCATAAACCAGTTTCTGGCTAATTGTTTGACAGGGGCCTGGGTGTGAAACAGCAACGGCAGCGCCCTCGGGACCCAGCCCAGAACCTTTGATTTCCTTTATAAAACCTCTGGAAAGTTTTTCCTCGAGCAAATTTTCTGTTTTCCATTGCAAACTGCAGACACTGCTCTGGTGCTGCCCTCCTGCAGCCCCCCCCCTCCCCTTGCTCCCTGCTCCAGCTTTACCCTTTGTCTCACAATCAGAGGCTGATTTCAGGTTGTGCAGCTGAACCAGCAGCTGTTTCCAAGCAGAAAGCACATTCTGTGTTCACTTTATGGAACGTTCAGTGCCGGAGCAGATGAAATTGTACCTGCCCCACAAATGAATTCTAAAACTCCTCTGTGAAACTCTACCTAAAGTTGAAATATTCAACTGAAAAGTGCCAAAGTTGTGTTACTGGAGCTCAGTTTGGAAAGAGAAACAAAAGTTCAGGAGTCTGTGGGATGCTCCTGTGCCTACTCACCATTAAAATGCAGAGGAGAATCTAGGCTGTCTCTGTAAAAAACTAACTCCAAGGGAGAGATGCCTGTGTGATATATAGATGCTCCCAGGTGAAACTCAAGATAGCTGAGCCCTCTGCGGAAGGCAAGGCTGACCTGACATGCCAACACACCCAGGACAGACTCTGGATTTATTCAGCCACATTCACTTTTCCTGGTGCTCGAGTCACAAGCGATGAAATCTCATTCATTTATGCAAGCAACTGGAAGATTTATTGTAAATAAAGTTCTGCACATTACACAACTGGCTAAAAATCATAATTAGAGTTGCACTGGGGAACATGTTTTATTTCTTCTGACAGCAGTCTGGCTTCAATAAGCCCAGCAGGATAAATGGCCCAAAAGTTTGCGGAGTTTCGGCAACTAAAGACCTTATCACAGCCATGGAAGTGGAAATGTCTGACAAGGTTTGATGTGGCTTGCGAGTGGTCCCGAGCACTTCTCCTGCACAGCATCACTTTCCAGCAGCACCAGGGCACAAGGAGCTGGAGGCAGCGCCTGTGTTCCCTGTAAATCAAAGGGATTTTCCGCTGCTGTTCAACTTCCCAGACCCCGGTGTGAGCGCAAGGACACGTCTGCGGGAATTAGCACGGTTCTAGGATAGGGAGGAATGACAGTCGGACTGCCGAGCCGACAGACCCTCTGGAAGAGGGTCAATGACACCATTAATAGGATGCAGACATTCCCAATCTCCGGCTAGTCTGCGCCCTGCCAAAAGCTCCAGTGCTTGCTTGCTTTATAGTTTTAAGTACAATTTCAGGTCCATAAAACATCAGAGAAGACAGAAGCTATTATCCTGGCCATGACAGGAGTCCCTAATGGGACATGCATACTCTGCACATACCTAGAACTAGTGATGCTGAGCTTTTCCTGCTCCCCATCTGTTCAAGGGTATTTTAAAATGTACCAAATCAGGTTTACCCCAATAACATTTATTGCTGCCCTGAGACTTCTGACTGACTCTGATTGCAATCAGACATTTATCTGCCTTTGCTCACTCTGAAGAGAGAAGCCCAGTCCCCTTGTCATGTGGGGCATCCTCTGAAGGGTTCTCTCCAACCCAGCCACGGAGCTGGAGGTATTTATGTGAAACCCCTCTTGCCGCAGAGCTAAAGAATCAAACCCAGTTGCTCTCCAACTAACAGAGAGGTTCTGCACAGACCAGCCCAGAGCCACGTACCTCAGAGGGCAAAACAAACTTTATTATCAATGGGGATGATACACACTGCCACGAGTATTTTAGTCAGTCTCTGCTAAATTTAGAACAGCTAGAATATTTCCAGCTAACATTATGAAAAATAATTATTTATACTGCTATAAAAAGAACATTCCAGTAGCAGGGAGAGGTGGTGAGCAGCAGTGCTCTGCCACAACGGTGAAGGAATCTGGAAGCCTTTCCCAGCTCCTGCTCCGCAGTGCCAGGGACTGGGAATGCTCGTTCCAGGCTGGTTTGCTGCACAGCAGGTGACAGTTGGTCTGTTTATTCAGTACAGTTCCAGAACAGCTTTGGGAATCCTCCCATCTCCAGAGCCACCATTCCGATAGGAATGATACAGAGGTTAGGTTTTGTTTTGCAAGGCTGACCTTAACATTGAGCCCAAACACGCTGCTTCGTCGTTCTCAAGGACCTTTCCTTTTCCTCCCTTTACCCCCCGACACACACACACGTACCTCAGAAGCAGTTTCCTTGTGAAGAGATGCCCCCTCCGGTCACCACGGGGTTCTCCATTTCTGATGTGGTTCATGAGCACTACGGCTGTCCGTTCTATGAGAGAACCCCCAAAGAATCAACTGCTGCCACAGGAATCCTTCTGATAAGAAAAATTAAATGAAATAGAGAAGAATACTCAAGGATTTCAGGAAGGCAATGATGAAGGAATGACACACTCAGAAGAGGATTAATCATATTTGACAAACAGGAAAGCGTGTAACCTCCCATTTGTTACTACCTTAAGAAAATACCCTTTTAATAAACATATGGAAGCATTAAAACAAAGGAAAATGCGTTATTTTGTAACTTTGAGGCTTGTATCGAGTTACATTTCATCCCTTCAAAACTTGCTTCATCTGCCAAGGCTGTTGTGCAGCGTTTCTCGCTTCTGTGCCAGACCGACCGAACAGAGAATGGAGTGAATTAACTGCCTGGGAGCTGGAGCACAGCCTCCAGCATACAACCACGAGCACCTTCCATGGATTTATTATTGCAAACCAGCAGACAGATAGGAGCAGATGAAACTATGCACTGGTTTATCCTAAATTTAGACTCTAAATGGAGAGATGTCTCCTCCCTGCACCATAGCCAAAGGTGCTTTGATTTCATTATTAAATGTCTTTGTGTGAATCTGAGGTATGGAGCTCATGCTTTACACAGGCCTGCTCAAGCAAAACAGACATTACATAATTGTCTCTAAAGGGTTACAGCACAGTATTTATTCAACAGCAGAATGCAAGTTTGTTAAAAAGAAGGCTGCATACATCGAAATCAAACTTGTTCGGGTACAAACACAGCCCTTGGAACAGAAAACCTCATAAAAGGAGAAACCTTCTATTTATTAATTGGTCAAATGAATTAGAAAAAATGGCTTACAGGAAGTTCAGGAAGGAACCGAACTCTGTGCAGCAAACACAGATGTCACAAAAATGACAGAGTCATCTTCAAATTAATCTCTTCAGTTAAAATACCCACTGGCAACAAGAACAACAAACCCCATTCCACTTTGACTTCCATCATGTTATGATGCCGAGTAGCTTATTGACAGGTCAAGGGAGAAAACCTTCAAGCTTCTGAGGAAGTAGCACCCACCCCTTTTCCTGTACAAAAGGAGTTTGGATGAGCACGTATTGGTGGCAAGGCAAAGGCAGCAGGACCCAAACCAGAGCCTCTGGGTGCTCCCTGGGGCTCAGCCCAGCCGAGCAGCCACAGCTCTTATTGCCAGGGCAGCCAAATTCTTGGCACTTATAAGGAAAAGAATCCTGCTCATTTGTACATAATCCAGCTATTGACATGGCTTTAGTATGGCAAATGCTGAATGCCCCAGGTAAGGGAGAACTTCTGGACTAGAGGATCATGCTGCTGTCTGGAGGGGGTGAGGAAGGGATCTGGAATCGCAGTGTGATCCAAGCAGTGAAGAACCAACAGAGACCAGAGGTGTGCAAGGCTAAGTATTCCCCTTTGAAAAGGGGAAAGAAACCCAAAAAGTCACCTTTGAAAAGCAAGAATCTGCTTTCCTGATCCAAGCACCTGAGCTCCTGGAGCTCCCACTGTCCCGTTATTGCTTCTGGAGGTCAGTGTGTTTTACAGCTTTTGGTTTGTTTGTTTGCTAAAAAAAACAAAGAAGCGACATCCATGTTTGGAGCTATTAATACAAAAATCACACCTGAACTCTGTTGAACATCCCCCAGTCCCCAGTGCCCCCTGAGCTGGCCATGGTTTGCTATGTGGAATATTGTTACAAATATGAAATGTTGGCAAAATGCACCCCCCATCCAACCAGAAAAAAAAAAAAAAAGGAAGAGAAAAGCTTTTTCCAGCTGTAACATCTGTTAAGTCTAACTAGCTGACAAGTGCTTCTGATGGAACACGCTTGCCAGAACACTACAGAAGAGGAGGAGGGACTTTATGGAGGAGGGAACACAAGCTATTTTTCTCCTTCCCTCACCCACAAAATGCACAATACCATTTGCAAACAACAAAGGAACACCACAGCATCTGATCACATGCAACACGAGGCGATTTCACGGGCTGATGCCGTCGCACGGAGTTATCTCTGGGTCATTCCCTGCGGCAGGATAACGGGAGCACATGCTATCCCAGCAAAAGACTCTGGGAAATGTAGGTCCCTTTCCCATTCATCAGTTTCAGTGTTATACACCTGCACAATGCTGGTGACATTGTTCAGATGCCAATTGTACCCTCCTACAATATAAATCTTTTTTTCTAGTAAACAACAGCCTGCTTCCGACTGCCCTGCACGCATTGGGCTCACCGTGGTCCATTGGTCTGTTTCAGGCACATAATACTCCACAGCCAAAACATCAAAACAACGGTCAACATGGTCCATGCGACCTCCCAAAGCATAAATCCTGCTATTTGCACTGACCATGGCATGCAGAACTCTGGGCTCATTCATCGGGGTTTTAAACTCCCACTGATCCATGGTGGGGTCGTAGCAGTGCAGGGCTTTCTTGTCTTCCACCGAGATGCCGTACCCACCTGAGATGTACAGCTTGCCTCCTACCGTGGCTCCCGCGTGCCCCCACGTCCTGCGTTTCAGGGAGCACACGTAGGTCCACTCATTATTCTGGGGGCAATACTTCTCCACAGAGGCCAGGCTCCCCGAGCGGTTCCTCCCACCGGTGGCATACACCATACCGTGCAGGACGTTGAGCTGGAACTGGATCCTGCTCTCCTGCATGGCCTGGATGCGCAGCCACTGGTTCAGGTGCGGATCGTAGCGGTAGCAGATGTCCACAGCTCCCTCCCCGCTCCGGTACTGCAGGTGCTGCCCTCCAACGATGTAGACGAAGTTGTCGAGCACGGCCACGCAGGAGTGGCTGCTGCCCACCTCCATCTCTGTCAGCTCCTTGAACTGTCGTACGCTGGCATCCGGCAGGTAGTAGACCTTGCAGCTCACAGTGCGGTCGTTATCAGTGTAGGGAGTGCCACCGAAGGTGATGAGGGACAGGACATCCGAGCGGATGGTGGTGCGAGGGGACTGCATCTCGTGCTGCCGGAAGGGCAGGATCTGGTAGTTGAATGCCTCCAGCAGATACTGCCGGCACAAGACATCTTCCACCATGATGTCCAAGGTCTGGACGCTGTCCACCAGCTCCGAGGACTTCATCAGCGGGAAGCGGATATGGCAGAGGACCTGGCTGGCGTTGGCACGGCGGGTTGGGTCATACTGCAGCCACCGGACGGCGGCACGGAAGAGATCTATTTCACTGCAGCTTTTCAGCTTATTGCTCTGCAAGAAGAAAACAAGGCGCTCCAGGGGCAGGTGGAGGAAATCCTCTTCCTCAGAGATCTGGAGGAAATGCCTAAAAGTGAATGCATCTACTGATTCCTTCAAGGATGCGAGGCTGAAGGTGGTGGCCATCTGCCCGATATTGAGACACGTTTCTACGCTCATGGCAGACTTCAGGAATTCTTCGCAGAGCTCCACGACAGGCACCATCTGGAGGAAGACAGCAGCTCCCAGCACATCCTGAATGCAGTCAAGATCAAGAGTCACTTCGGCACTGTATGCAAAGTCTATAATGTGCTTCAGTCCTTTTGCAGATAGACCTTTCAGTTCAATCACATCTTGGCTGGCTTCTCTCATCCCGCCTGCAAACATTGCCCTGGGGGTCAAGAACACAAAGATTTCACCCCCTTTTAAATACAGATAAAATGATGCATCACTTCAGAATGGTATTTTATTCTTTTAAACCATACTGATTCCCTCAGGGAGGATGGGGAGGGAGGGGAATAAATCAAGGCTAAATCTCTAAAAGGCAGGAGAAATTAAGAGTATGCAGTTTCTTACATAAAGCTTGCATAAACACTGCACTGAGAAGTAATATTCAGCTATCAGAAAGTTACGGTTTTCAATACTGTGGCAGCATAATTAAGAGTGGACCACAGGACAAAGCTTCAAGAAGTGGGTAGAGCTACCAGAGCAGGGACTGCAATACACTGGACACCAAGGGATCCATAATACTCAACAACCAAAGGAGACCACGGGATCTGCACCAGCAGAGGTTGGTAACCAAACCCTAAAGAGTTCCAGTGTTCAGGAAGTGTGAGCACAAAGAAGGAATAACCTGTGTTTAGGAGGTCCGCGACACTCTGAGCCTGCCTGCGGCACTGCCATCACTTAGCCTGTTCTATCCTAGGCTGGCTATGAAATCCAGCTATTGCAGATGCAACACTGCAGATGCAACAATCTAATGATAATCACAAGAGAACCTCCCCTCCAGGGTTCAACCCCAGCGCCTTAAGTAAATAGGGAAATCGGAGTCGCAGCCACTTCAGAATCCTCTGTCATGTTGCAGCACGACGGCAGGGGGCTAGCAGGCAATTAGAAAACAAGGAGAAAAACAAGATTCTGTTCGAGCACAGCTGCAAGCACATCAGTTGACCAGGCCACGCAGAGATTAGGCCCGAGATCACCTCCTTGGGAGGCTTCTAAATTCCACAGGAAGCACATACCACGCCAGGGCCTGACGCAGACATCTCATAAACCATGCTGCTGGAGCAGTGCTGCGTTTCCCAGCACCGGGGCCTGCGGGCGGGACGGGGACACAACTGCACATCGAGATTTAATACAGTGACATTCAATTTCAGCAGATTTTGTTACAGATGGGTAGCTCAGGGGCAATGGTTGTGCTCTGGGTAGCATTGGACAAGCAGTAGCAGAGCAGTTCTGGGGGAAGCTGAAGTTAAAGCAGGCTGCTGGAAGACCGGCTCCAGGGAGCTGCAGCAGCCACTGCCATCGTACACACACCACAGCAAGGCTGCAGGCTGTCACACAAAGACCTTCTGAATTGCTGGCAGCTGCCTGCACATTTGGAACTGGGTTTTCCATTGATAGCCCACTCTCTCACATCAGAAAGGTAAATCCATTCTGAGGGCAGTGTCGTTACTGCTGCTTTAGGAAGCTGTAGTGACTCTAAGGTGCAAGTTAGGCAGAAAAAATGCTGAATGGACCCTCCCTTCTGCATTGATACAGGAATAAAGGAGTATCTTGGGAACACTGTCACAAGATAGGAGTTCCAAGTTTCCTGTCCAAACCTGCCGCCATCCAGCATAAACCCAAGAAATCCTAAATGACCTAAATGAGGAAATACCTGCATATGAAATAAGCTCCCCGTAACCGGGTGACCAGCAGTCCTGTTCACAATTATTTGTCCATACAGCAGATGAGAGCGTTCTGCTAAAATCCCTCTGTGTATCCCATGTCCCAGAACAGCACGCTGCCCTGATCCCTTGCCCCAAAGGGTGTGCAGACACATGTGTGCTCGTGCATTAGCTACACAGAGCTGAGCATGCAGAAAGAGAAGCATTATAGTTGCCACGATGAAGACAAAGTGGAATGCAATTCCTTTAAGAAGCGTTACGGTTCTAAAATGCTGATTATTATATAAAGGCCTCAATTTCACTCTTTTTCTCCCCTCCCTCTCTGCATAGAACCAGAGTATTTTCAAAAGCTAGATTATTCTCCCATTGTTCCCCAGGACAACCTTCCTTAGCACCACAGAAGTTATAACAAGAAACCTACTCAGCAATTACATTTTGACAGGGAAAACACACTAGCAGTGGCACTGCATACAGCATTTATGAATACAAATAGTGCTATTAGCATTTGGTGGGAGATCAGCTCCATGGTTAATTGCATGCCTGGTGGGGAGAGTGATAAGCTTGGAGGGTTTATGTTACCAAAGCAAGAGAGAAGGGAACAGCCTAGAAAATATGTGTGTACAGGAGACAGACATCATCAGAGCAGCTGAAGAAGCGGACCGAGGGATGCATGAGATACACCAAGGGACACTGGAGTCCCTTGCTTGTGGTTACCTGCTCAGCACACACTTTCTGCTCAGGTCAGGAAGGAACCTACACGGTGAGGGACTGCAAACCCTGTTGAACAGCCCTTCTCCAGCCGTACCTGCTATGACCTGCAGTCCCAAACAACCCTCAGGTTGAGCGCTCTGCTGTTCTGAACCTTCCCAATACCCTTTGCCTCCAGCATGCCCCTCACTTGACACTGCTCCTGGTGCTGCCAGGAAAGGTCCCTAATTCAACAGAGAAGTCATTCAATGCCAAAGAGCTTGACAGAGACAAGATGGATGAATATGTATTTTTTGCTTAAGACCAAAGTTCCTGCTCTGCCATTGTCTCACTCTGCATTAATTGCTGAGAACACTCATCTCTGTGCTTCAGTTTTCTACCCACACAAGATAGGACAACTCTCCTCTATCTCCTGGGGCTCTGGAGAATGCACACCCAAAACGTTTCACACTCTTCAGCCTGTAAACAGTAATCACTGTGGACAGGTCAGTGGTATTTAAAGACAACAGGAGTGTATTTACAGCGGGCACCACCATTCAATGGGATGAGTCATTTCAGAGGCCTCTTGGAAATCACCTCAGGTAGCTTCGAGGCAAACGCTCCTTTCTTCAGCAGCACCTACCAGGAGGGTTCAGGACCCGGGCTTGAACTTGCATCTTGGCCCAGCGGCTGCAGCAGAACACACCTCCTCTGCATGCAGAGGAACTGGCTCCACATGCCTGCAGGTAATCCCACCGACCTCCGTGGGGCAAAGCAGACCCCCAAAGGGTTGTGCATGGGGGTGATTCTGGGGTGTGGTGGGAAGGGTTGGGGTGGGGGAGGATGGGGAAACAGAAAACCAATGGGAAAGGTAGAAATGCCTGCTTCCCTGTCAGATTCTCACCTGAAATAGTCACTGCAGGCAGCCAAGACAACTTTATGAACCTGAAACACTTCATTATTTATAGTGAGGATGACATCAAGCAGCTGAGCCTGAGCTCGGAGCGAGGCCAGTCCCTGCAGTAGAGTGGTGCTGTGGCCAGGAGCAGAGAACGTGCATTTCAGGGTGCTGTTCTTGTCAGCCATGCTAAAAACAGAACAAGAGAGACAGGCTGGTTTTAAATTAAAACAATATGTGGTATACCTACAAAGCACGCTGGGGAAGCTCTGTAACGTGAAGCAGTTTGAACACAAATTCCCAGCTCAACAGCCACACAGAACATCATGACATCAGTACCTCAGTTGTATTCCCTTCTCCCAGCACAAAAGAGACTTCCAAGTTTTTACAATACCCTTTCCCATCAGTGACAACCCATCACACTTGCAGCACACGTGGCCTTCAGAGACCATCCAGACACCAGCCAGCGAGGCCAAAACCTCCAACGGACATCGGTGTCCCCACTCTACAACTACCCCAGAGCCCACCCTGGCCCTGACTTCAACCACCGGACTGAGTCACAGTTGCTTATTCTTCTCAGCACCTCTCCTGCCTGCAGCTGTTGGATACTCTGTGCTGTCCAAGGACAGCCCTGTTGGCCCTACTGGGTTCTGGCCTTATGCTGGACCCTCATGAGAAGAGCAAAAGCAAAGTATTACATAGCACTGGCGGCTCTAAATAACGTCAGCTGTTTGAACTGCACTGTAAACAGTCCCCTCCCAGAGTAAATATTTCCTTGGTTTTCCCAAAGCCTCTTGCACATGTTCCCCAGGGCAGAGCATCATTCTTGGATCCACTTGGCCTCAGATGCACTTGTCAGTGAGAAGGCTGCCTTCGGAGGTGAATGTCAGTAGCATCTCTGCACAAGTGGATGCTCTGTGCTCCTCTGAAAATAACAACAGTTATGCTGCAGATTTCCCAAGCAAGGGAATAATGGCTCAACTTGCCCTGCCCAAAACGGGCATCCCACCAAGCAGGGCCCATTCACACCCACAGAAGCATGAAATCCAAAATTCACTGGCAAATTTGGTCCAACTCTGAACTACTTTTCAGGATAAAGATCCAAGGAAGAAAACACACACAAGCACCAGTATTCAGAATGGGGTTGATGGTTTTGGATGCATCCTGCTATTTGCTTGCTGCATTTTAGGAAATATGTTATGGAAGCATGACATAAATAATCCCAAACAGATCATTCCAAGTCTGGAAAGCTGCATTACTTGATCCCAAGTCCACAGTGAGAGAGTGAGCTTAGTGCTGCACTTAAAGGGTGTTATTATTATTACTATTATTATTATTATTATAGGTAGACTATAGCAACAAACCCAAATAAAATAGCACAGAGCCTGAGTCCCCACGTGCTCGGGGCTGTATGATCCCATCACCTGCTACAAACTGTCCCTAAAAGTTCACCACCTAAACAACAAAAGCTACACACAATGGACAACACAAGTAGGCGAGGTCAGAGAAGAGTCAGGGAGATGGGATAACAAAAAAAGGGGATGTAAACAATCCTCAAACAATAAGGAACAATGGACAGGACTTGCCGCTTGCCCAACTTATCGGATTGTCATTTCCTGCAAGCTTTAAGAAGAGGGGGGTTAGGGGAAATCTGTGATGTTCATCAGAGCACCCAGAGGGCAGGCGCTTTGTGTGAGCAGCTTCAGAGCTCTCTGGGATGCTGCAGGATGCAGATAGTGAATCTCTGCAGCCTGTTTCAAAACTCAGGCTTGAGGACGTGCCTCAAAATTCATACTGGGATGCCTGGTACCAGGCACTGTGCTTCTTGTAGCACAGATCTGAAACTCCTGCCTTCAAGTCAAAGCATACTAACAAGTCTTAGTTCAGAAATTGGAGCCCAGCTGTAACATCCTTCCTATAATGAAAAGGATTAGCAAAAAGTCAGTTGCTGACAAGACCTTTATCCATGACTCCGCGAGCCAAGAAGTGACTATCCACTCCTGATCTTCCATGGCGAAAGAGGAAAGGGATTGGAAGGAGTGAGCGCATGAATATTCATCATGTCAAACTCATTTTACTCTCCTCACTGGAACAATGGCTTTGATTCGCTGGAGTGAGAGGAAGAAACACGGAGCCTGAGTGTGGAAAAGATCTTGCCTCTGAGCACAGCATCATTCACTGAGCAAACCCATTCTGCTGCAGGCTGGACACAGGCAGCTCCGGAGCTCACTGGGAGATGGTGACTCCTGAGTTCACCATAACAGCATCAGACTCCATCTCCCACAGGATTCTTCTCATGGGAATTTTCTTCAGCACTTTTCGCATACCCATTTGAAATATTCCTGTTCCCAACGCAAGGCTTTACCCGTATAGGATTGCTTCCACCAGACCCTCCCAGCACAGGTTCCTCTTCAGACAACTTGACCTGAACAAGTAGTCCTCTGTTGAGCTTTTTCCCATTAAGTTTTACAAGCATTGTTAAGAACCATAGTGTAAGTTTAAAATAGATGGAGGGCTAAATGTGGCCGGGTGGATATTTCTGTGCTGGAATAAACATGTTTGCATGTGTGATTCATTTCAATAGGTAATTGTGAACAGCTACCCCAGAAAAACTCCCTGCACTAGTTCCTTTGTCTGTTTACAGGTATAAAATAAAAGGATCCAAGGATTACAGAATCCTCCAGGGGGGAAAAAGCCCAAGAAGCAAAGCATTAATAATGTCCAGTCTTCAGTCTGGAAAACAAAAAGAATTTTTAGAAGAAACACAAAAGGCAAATAAAATCCACACAAAGCTTAGAAACCAAAGAGGAAACTTTGCAAGAAACAATGTGGGAGAAGGAGAGGTGAGAAACCAGCAGCAAGCGCTGTGTGGAGCGTGGCTGGTATAAAGGGGCTTGTGAGAAAAGCAGGCTTGGCTCCGGCCGGGCTCTGTGCCACAGGGTACATGCGCTCTGCTGCACGGCTTCGCTTCCCGCTCCTTTGGGAAGGGAGGAAGAAGAGCAGCAGCAGTTGGATTCAGAGACTTCACAGAAATAAAGCACAAAGGGAAGCCTTGAACATGTGAAAGCGCCTTTGTGTGGCTGTCCCTATCTCACTCGGGATCTGGATATGCCGTGTACTCGCTGCTTAACAATCTGTTCCAGCCGACAAACTTTGGGAAGAGTCGCATGGACTCCTCAGCAGTTCAAGATAAAAGCCTTCTATCGCACAATAGTGGCAAAGTGTTTATTCCGCTCCTTCCCTTTCTGATGGAGAGCTTCTGGAATTTTCCTTGGGAGTTGGTCTTTGTCGTCAGAAGGACAGCACTGAGAGGAGCCCCTCCCGGGCGGCGATGCTGTGTGGAGTTTTCTGTGGCTGGAGCATCCTTTGGCAGGGACTGAGCACGCCAGCTTGGAGCAGGGTCCAGTGTGTCTGCCTGCATCCAGGCAAATCTACCCTTCGGAAAGTGTAAAGCATAAAAATCATTCACATCAAGCTGCATTTCCACTGCACATCCCATAGGATTCACAGGGGAAGGGGATCTGAAAATGTTTACATGATCAGGGCCTCTAACATGAACATACTGGTATAAAGGTGACTTTACAGGAACAGAAATCCCACTTCCCACATGGAAATCACTGTAGCAGTGAAAGGTGTCTTTATATTCACTGCACCCATCACATGAATGGCGAGGGCAGCTGGAATTCAACAGGATTCCAAAGGGTGATGCGTTTTGGGCAGCAGCTTCAAAGACCGGTAGCATCACTGTTACCTGATTTTCAAAAGGGGACTACCAGGAATCAAGTAATGGGATTGGGGATTTGTCTCCAAGCTGCTGCTCTGAAGCCAGATTGCTTTCAATCCTCTCCAGTCGCTGCAGGGTAAGAGTTCATTCAGCGTGGTGTATGTGACCTTAGCTTGAGGAAAACCAACCCAAATCCATACACACACTGCAGGCTTGTGCAAATGTTAAAGCAAGGGTTAAAGGAGTGGCAGACAGCAGGCAGGGGAGGCAAACAAGGCCAGAAATTCTCCTTCTGCTGCTCACCTATTGCAGCAGCTTGGCCATCCGCTCATCCTTGCCCCGAGCACGCTGACCACATCCTTAGCTGGCATGTTCTGAGCCAGGGCTGCTTGAGCTCTGACCAGAAACAGATGCAGAGAGGAGGCACCTGAAGGCAGGGCTGAATGCCCGAGAGGCCTCTAAAGCTGATGGGCTGAGAGGTGTTGAAGGGCCACACTACAAGAGTCAGTCCAGATGAAGCACAAAGAACATCCCAAAGAACAACCATCCCCTGCCTCTGCCTCCTGGATCCCCCACAGCATCACGTGTCATCCCAGATGTGTTTCAAGCTAATGAATCATTTTTACCAAATCTGTCCCGATGATTAAAAACATCAAAGCTGGAATTAAAGGCTTACCAAGCATAAGTTCATATTTCAGCATGTTTGCAACTACTGCACAAGCACAAATGGAGAGAATTACACCAGGCCAGACGAGAACCTTTCAGTGATTGAATCCTTTGCTAGACAACTGCCTGTCCTCTTCCTCCTGGCATAACATGGTCCTCCTCGGAGGGAGGGATGGGTCAGTGCTAGCAGGGCTGGCTCTCCATCCCAGCTCAGCATCCCTGCCAGCATCCAGCCACGTGTTCCCACTCTCCAGACAGGTGGTGCTCGGTGATTTCTCACACAGGAGAGGCTCAGGGGCTAGCAGGGTTTCCAACAGGGCAAACTTCCAGCAGCAGCCTCTGCAGTAAACACAGGCTCTAAAGGTAGGACCCCACGAGGCATGGCTGGGGTGCAGAAGAGGAGGGAGGAAAAGCAGCAGCGTGTGTGTGTTCACATGCACGGAGCACGGACTGCCACAGCTTTTCTGGGGAGAAACAAAGGATTTGGGATTGCAAAACAGCCAGCAAGGCACCTCTGGAGCGCTCGAGCCTGCAGGAGATTTCCTATGGTGAGAGCTGCAGAACTAACGTAAAGCTGAAGAGTAACTTTATTTAGTACATAGGGTATGAATATTAAAGGCCTTCTTTAAGAACCTTGAAAGGCAGCATTATAGATATTTTAATAATGCAAATCATTTAATGCCTTTAGTTTCATGCCTAAGTAAAAAACACATTCAGATTCTGATTTTTAAACTACAATCAAGACACTTAAAATCAAAACAAAAGTCAAACTCCCTCAGATAAGTCACTGGTAGCCATGGTTACTGTAATATTTCAGATCCTGAGGCTTTATATCACATGCCCAAATGATGAAAATGAGTTCCCAGCACCTCACACTAACGAACATTACGGGAGTTGGAAAAGGCCAAGCTCTTTGCTGCAGATCTGCTGCTTCACAACCTCTTCCCAGGAGCTCCAGACATGGTCCTGTGGCCTTTGCACCCCCTTAGGACGTTTCCCTGAAGTCTGGGTGCAAGGAAGAGCAGATGCTGCCAGGCAATGAGACTTAAAATACCTGCCCTCGTAACCTACTTACAGCCCAGCAGCACGACTGGCACCAGCACCCCCTCAGAAACATTTACCATCGCTTCCCCATCCAAATTAGCACCAACAATAAGCCCTTAATGCTGAGCAGCTAATTAAATATTAACACATGGAGTGAAGGGGATGTTTTCCAGAGAAACATCATCATCCTGAGGGAAGACGTGAGCAAAACCATGTAATCGAGTTCTTTGTTCCCTCTTCCACCTCCTTCCCTTAATTTCTCCTTTTTCTCTCCTCTGCCTCCTCTCATTTTCCTCTCTTGACACCCTCTCTTTCATCCAAGGCAATAAATACAAGTAAAAAGCCTGAGACTAATATCTCTATCTAAAAGTGACTAAAGCAATTTGGAGTGCTCAAATGAAGAGATTATAAATGGGCCTGAGTTTTAGAAGGAGCAACACTTTGTGGGGGAAAAAGTGGTCTATAAAACGCCTGAAGCGGAACAGTGAGGTTTGAAAAGTCTCCGCTTTTGTCTTTAACACTTTGAGTCTCAGAACTTCAGGAGAGTTACGTGCCCAACAAACCAGTCCTTTGTATCTCTATTACAGGTCTGCTCCTCTCACAAAGAAGGAACTGAGGTCTCAGAAGATGGACTGGGATGGGACTGGGCTCCACAGGGCTCCCACACCCTCGCTGCCTGATTCAGCCTTGCCTTAGTGAACCAGCAATGAAAGCCACGTTTCACAGAAGCCAGGAGGTACCTTAATGCTTTGGGTTTAAGTGCTTTCTGAATCAGGTCCTACTAATCCCGCTATTTGCTTATCTGCCTCCTACTTCTCCCAGGCTGGCACCAAGGCAACCCTGTAGTCAAAGGTAAGAGAGTGAGGTGAAGCAAGAGGCTCTTCAATTGAGTTTTTCTTTAAATATTATTTCCTGGCCCCCACAGAAGTCCCCGAAACGTTTCCAAATCCCTGTTTTCCTTTCTCTGAGCTGGACTCACACAGGGCTCAGCAGACACACACACAAACACATTCTGCTCCCAGGCTTCAATGGGAGGTTGTTTGCAAGCCAAAGGAGGTAGGAATTTGGTTTCTGCTAAAAGCACTAATGAAGCTGGATGTGTGTCAGAAGCTGGCCTTGTCAAACAGAGCACTGGAGCAGCAAAAACGTGGAAGGTGAAATATCTGCACACATTAAGCTCTGTGCTACTTCATGGAGTTTCACATGAGGGACTGGTCAGTACGTGCTGTACCTGGGGCAAATTAGGGGGAAAAGGGAAAAAGCATGGCAGGGGACTTGGATCTTAAGGTCCTTTCCAACCCTAACTATTCTATGATTTTAGGATTCTTAACAATGTTCCTATTGCAGAGCCAGAGCCATCATGGTGCTGGTGCCAGGACAAGGGCAAGAGCAGTCTGGTCCTTTTCATTCAGCAGCTCTGAATTACGGGCTCTGTGAGCCCCGATGTGCACACTGCTACCAGCATTAGGGTTTTGGAGGGGCACAAAGCGTCAGGCTGAGCACATCCTTTACCAGGAACTGCCATTTCTCTCTATTCACACCCAGAGCTACCATGGAGGATCTTGTCCTGTAGAGGGGTTTTCCTGGTGCACTCTCAGTCCTGCCCCAAACCTCCTCCAGCAGCAGAGAGTGCAGCAGGCAACACACATCACCCATCACTAACAACATCCTGCCCTGCCACAGCCTCAGCCTTTAAAATGACTGAGGAGGAGAAGATGCTACCCACCCCTCAAACTTACTGTGGTTATGTTCTTGTCAGCCCCAAACCTAAAGCCGCTGTGGCTGGAACAAACTGAGCAGATGGAAAGATCACTCTGACCATATAAAAGACTGTGGCAGCCACAGGGAGCATCACAGCAGTGAGGAGTTCAGCTGCTCGGTGCTGCTCCCAGCCACAGAGGACCTCTGAAAGGCCGGTGGGGTTTACACCATGTAAAATTTCCCTGTGTATCCACAGTACAAGCTCTTTACACACTGGATGCTCCTGCTGGCAGCGCTGCCTTCAGCAGCTTCACGTGTCTCCCACCTTACAGTGCCACCCGCCAACCCCGGCTCTGGGAAGCAGGCAGTTACGGTGACGCTGGCCCAAAGCCGTCTGTGTAAAAAGCAGAACCAGCCTTTTCCAGGCGGAGCAGTGGCTTCGCGGGTGCTCCCGCAGCAGCACCCGTGGCAGAGCCGCTGAGCAAAGGCCGAGAGGCACCTAGTGGTGCCGGGAAGCACAGCAGAGCCACCAAGGCCACCCCAAGTGACACTGGGGCCAGCCCCAAGCGCTGCTAGCCTTCCAGGTCCCACCCTGCGCTTCCCTCCACCATCACGTTTTCACCTTCAGAAACAAAGCTGATCCACAGCACAGCTACCACCGCTTTCACCCCAAAATCCACCAGGATCTGTCTTGCCACTGTGACACGTTCCCGCTTGGGATGGCCCATTCCAGCCCTGCCAGCAGCTTCTAGCACGGCAGAGTTCCCCCCACCAAGCAAATCCCTCTGGGACCTTGTCCCACACCACCATACCCTTCGCTCTGCACCTTGGAACAACTTCCCACTCAGAGGACGAGGTGCTCGGTGCAGCGTTTGTCCCAGCCTGGGTCTGTGGCAGCCGCCTGCATCGCCTGGGCAGTGTCGCAATAAAAACGACAGGAGTAGTTACATGCAGAGTAGGGACTCCAGCGTGCAGCGCACCGCACATGCCTCTCCTCTCCCTGCACCTCCACCCTCCAGATTGGTGCCTCGGAGCAGCGAGGGATGTCGAGCACAAACAACATGAAGTGATGAAACAGCAGAAACAAGACAACACCACTCTGCCATCACTGCAGACTAAAGGAATCGTGTTTTCTAGCAGATGCAAGCAGCTGCCCAGCACTTGGCATCAGCACACCAGCTCTAATTCAGCTCCAGGATGAAACCTTCTCACCACCACAGCTGGTTTTAGCCCTTACCTAAATCCTCTGCACTTCCCTTCCAACAGGCTTGCAGCATCACTACGGTTCCCAGCTCCTTGGGCAGTTCAGTTCTGCAGCAGCTCCATGTCGCCTCACCTGAACAGAATTAACCAAGACCCCCAGAAGTGCAGCAAAAGCTTTTGTTAAGGGCAGTAATTTCTGTGCAAGTTCAGCACTTCTCTTCCACATAAATGAGAAACTGGAAAAGACACCTGAGCCATCACCCCGTGATGCAGGACTCTTCCTTCCAAAGCAGTGAACGCTACACAACACTTGAAGGTAAGGCCTTTAAAGAATCACCAACGTTTACTTCTGGTCTAAATGAAACCTCCAGCTCAGAAGTTATTTTTACAGCGTAAACATCTACACCACGTCTACCAGCTCCAACAACTAAATCTGGTTTTAAATTGCCATGTGGCAGAGGGTGGAACGTAGAAACCGCACAACACTGAACTCCAAGCGGTTTCAGAAGGAAGAAAAGAACTCTAATTGAAGAGTGAAGCTATGCAAGATCACAGGAGCACAAAAGCAAAGCAGACTCACAGCCCTTATCATTATCTTCCCCCAATGGTTTTACTCCATCCTCCTGTACATTGCTGCTCTCCCACTGCTTGCTTTGGAAGGAATAAGGTCAGGGAGTTCAGCTCAACTTTCCCTTGCTGCGAACCCAGACATATGTACTTCTAGATAAGGCAGACCTGCAGGTCTCCCTCGACCATTCATCCTGGGTTTGACAGTTGGAACTGCTTTCAACCAACACACCAGCGTGTAACAGTACTAGAGAGGTTCCGAAATGCGTTTACACACCCTGGCTGCCTTCCTGCCCATCTTTAAGGGATTAGTGGAGACGTGCAGCTCTCCTCAGCAGCTTGTCTGGACAACCCTGATTAATTCCTGCTTAGAGGCTGGCACGGTAACATCCTCTCCAGCACCTGAGATGGTTTTCCTAGATCTCTGTTACCCTGCTTTGTACAACGCTCCTCCCCAGCATCGCAGCAGAGCTCGCACACCTTGCCTAAAGCACTGAGGGCCTTCCTCACTGGGGGCACCCATGGACCTGCCCGTTTCCTCTGTAACTCACTCACCAATCTCAAAGCCTGTCTCCAGGAGCAGCACTGTATTACACAGTGCATTCTGCAGCCTGAAACTCTCCCTCTCCATGATATGGAGAGCTGGGAGTAAAACATGAAACCCATCTGCAACTCAGGAAGTTCTGCCCATAAAGGAAAAAAGGGGGGACAGGAGGGAAGGCAAGTTTATTCCAAATGAGAAGATTTAGGCCGCTTGCTTTCCAGCGCACAGCAATGGCCTTATCTCATGCCAGCAGTGTGTCAAGGGCCTTTTGAGCGTACCCTCGTCCACTCCTTATCGCAGGAGAGCGCGGGATGCCCGGCAGACACGCGGCTGTCCCTGCTCTGGAAGGCAGCACACACACAGGAACCAGCATCAGCTATGCAGTAGCAATTCCAAAGATGGAAATTCTGCCCGTGCTGAGTGCACCACCAAAATGGCATGTGTGTAACAGCAGGAGAGGACTTTGTCCTTTTGCCATAGAGAGCAAACACTCATTAAGTGCAAAAAGGCCACAAGTGGAAGCACCTAACAAGGAATCACTGCTGACCCTTGCAATTCCCCTCTTGCCCTACACAGCTGATGCAGTGTCTCCAACATCCACCATCAGGTTTGTCCCCAAGACATCCATCCTTTACAACAGACTAACAACCAGCAAGCAGCAGCATCCAAACTGCAGCAAGCTTTACTTTAAAACTAACAAAGAAAACAAACACGCAGCGATAGGGAAGGCAACGGAGCTGCAGCTCGGGGAGCATTGCTGCTGCAGCTCCACGCCGAGTGATTTATCACAGCCCTCAAACAAATTACTTCTATTTCTCAGTGCTACATATCCAGTACCTAGGAGCTCCAGAGCGAGTGGCCCTGCACCCATGTAAAGGGAGTGCTGCTGTTCCTGTGCTGCTGCTCCTATGCTGAGCAGGAGGGAAAGGAGCTGCAGAGAGATAAAATTAAAACGCCCCAGGCAACAGCATAGTTTACACAGGAGGTCATTAGGAAAAAGGAAATAAAACGTATATATAAATATATATATACACATGGAGAAGGTGAGAACTCAGACAGGCTTCCCCAGTGCTCAACAATGACTGTAAGAGCTTCCCTCTCCACAGCGTGACACCCAGGAGCAAACACAGAGTTAAACTGAGGCTAGATGATGCTCCAAAGAGCAGGGCCAGGCTGACAGCACAGCATCCCGGCGCACACAACACAGCTGAACACTGCCCAACGCAGAACTCCTGGATGAGGCCAGCCCTGGAGCAGAACCTCCACTGCCAACAGGTACCACCTACAGCACCCGCCCGGGTACCCAAGGGGCGAGCGGCCCTCCAGGAACCAAACCCAGCCCAGGGAGGGGGTTGATGGTGAGGGGCTGGGGTGGAACAGAACGGGCCCAAACCACCAAAACCGCCGTGTTTCTGTGAATCTACAAACCCGCTGCCTCTACAAACCCAACGCAGCTGGGGTCTGTGCAACTCCCAGTAAACCCCCCCAAACCTCAGCCTTCCTCTGCATGAATTCCCTCATGGGAAGCTGGTTTTGTCACCGTTCAGTGCCTGCCCCATCCCTGGCAGTGTTCAAGGCCAGGTTGGACACAGGGCTTGGAGCAAGCTGCTCAGTGGAAGGGGTCCCCGTGGCAGGGGTTGGAGCTGGAGGAGCTTTACGGTCCCCTCAACACAACCCATGCCGTTGTTCCGTGGCTCTCTCAGAGGCCCTCAGCCGCCGGGCCGCGCTCAGGACAACTCCCTCCCCGGCTCCCCGCCCCGCACGACCCCGGGCGAGCGGCCTCGGCTCCCACAGAGGCCACACAACTGAACCCAGCGGCGCTTGTGGGCGCCGGAGGAAGGCGGAGAAGCGCCGCGGCCGCCCCGGGCCCACCCGGCCCCGCCCCGCCGCCGCCCGGCGCTCGGACCCCCGATACAGGCCGCGCCCGGGCCGCACTCACCTGCTCGGCGGCTCCGCGGCGAACTCGGCCCCGCCGGACTCCGCCATGTTCGCTGCGGGCTGCGGGAGCCGCCGCGTTAAAGGCGCAGGAGCGAGAGAGGCCCGCGGCGGGGCCCGGCACCGGCACCGGGGATGAGCGGCTCCGCTCCGCGCCCGCCGGGCCTGGCGCCGCCCCGCCGCCACCGCGGCCTGTCACCGCCCCGCGGCTGCCGCTGCCCCACGGCCACGGGGGCTGCGGGTCCGGCGCCCCCCTCATGCCTGGGGGGGCCCAGAGGGGTCTTTGCTGCCCCATGGCTGGGAGGACTTGGGGGTCTGGCCCCATCCCTCAGCTGAGGGCTCCCGTGGCTGTGGCCTCCCCGCGGCTGAAGGGACTCGGGGGGTTTCTGTCGTCGCCCCATGGCTGAAGGGGCCTGGGGGTCCGTCACCCCCCGCACGACTGCGGGGTCCCGGGGTCTGTCACCACCCGATGGCCGTGGGGTCGCTGAGGGGGTCCCCTCCCCACGGCTGATGGGACTTGGGGGGTGTCTGCCATCGCCCCACGGCTGAGGAACTGTGGGGGTGTCACTGCTGCGTGACCCGCTCCACAGGCCCCCATGGGCCTCCCCATGGCAGAGCCTCCCAGCTGGCGTTACCCAACACGGGCGATGGCCGTACCCCACCCGTTCCCTCGGCATCTCCCGTGGGACTCGTCGTGTCCCGCAGGAGCCATCGTGTGCGCAACCAGCCCTGGGCTGCTGGGACGAAGCCTCCAACGGCCCCATTCTGGACCGGGTTTTACTGCCGCGAGTGCTCCGTGCAGGAGCAGCAGTACCCTCCAGAGGGTGCAGTCCGGTCACCGGCGAGCCCCGCGCTCCGGCTCTGCCGCCTCGGTGCCAAAGCTGCCTTCGCCACCCCACGTCCCCACACATGGTCGGCATCAGCGGCGCTCCCAAAGCGCCTGGCGCGGACGAGGCCAAGCATCGCGGGACCCGTGTAATTCCGAAAGCTGGCACGCATCTGGGGAGCGGATGGAGCTGAGGGCATCCAGAAATCAGGAAATTGTTCGTCGCTCTGCCAATGACCGGGGCTAAATGTCTTTGATTTCCCATGCCTCCGTGTCCACATCTGTATGAGGGGAAGGGGGAGTTCGTACATGAGAATAAACGCGCTTGGAAAGCCGTGAAAATACTCTTTCAAGTCAGCCTGATGAAAACTTCATGTTCTGGAGCCCTCTGCTTCAAGGAGAGCAATCTGTTTCAGAGGCAAAGCTGTGTATTTTTCTTATTTAAACCTTCTAAATCTGCTGGAGCATTAAAAATATTTGGCATTTCCACAGCACATTTCATTCCCAGCTCCAAATGCGTTTCACAGACATTCATTAATTAAGCCTCATGAAACCTTTGGGAGAAGGGGAAGCAAGGACTTATTAATTTGCTATTTGTATTGCTGCAGTGCATGAAGACCCCAGCCAGGACCTCGGGGCCCTGTTATTTTAGACCTGACCTACACAGAAGAGGAGATGTCAGCACGCCGAGGCGCGGGGAGAGCGCGAGGACACGCGGGAGAGGTGGCGGATGAGCTCCGATGCCGTAAGTCATCGGCGTTTCAGCACCGTGCCCTTCCTGCTGTTGCCGTGGCTCCCACCCCAGTCCTCCCAGCACCTCACCAGTTGCACCGTGCCTTTTACTGGTGTTCGGAGGCTCCTGCTCCTCCTTACCACTGCCTCGCGCTCATCCTGCTTCCTCAGACACCGGCTCTGCTTCATTTGATACCTTCTGCTTCCTCCTGGGGCTGCTTTGGCCTCGCAGCACGCCCCGCTCTTAGAAAGGTTTAGAATAAATGCTTTCCCTTTATTATTTTTAGGTCCACACAGATATTTTAAGTGCATCCATTTCAGCTCAATAAGTGCACAGCCATAAAGCAGCCCTGCTGACAGCTACCCCGGCCCGGCTGCCCACTCGCTGCCGACCTCTCCGTCCCAGGTGGGTCGGCGATGGGAGCTGTGAACGTTACACCTCTGCTTCCCCTGCAGGAAAAGCCAGGCTGTGCTGCATGCTGTAAATGCCTTTCACATGTTCCCCAGATCCCAGTTAAATTGAACCCCAGAAGGTCTCTCAAAGCATGAAAAATGCATTTATAAGACGCTGGAAGGAAGATGTATTCCGTAACTACTCTGGTGACCAGGCGTGCTGACTTGTGTCATGTGGGGAAGGAACCAAAAGGGGGTATTTCTTGTTATTTCATACCGCTGATGGGATTTTATCTCTGGCAGCAAATCCAGGAACTTTTTAGTTACCATTATTATTTGATTTTATGAGTCATTTGATATTTGGTTTTATTTCTGTTCATTATTTGTTGAGTGCTCTTAGCCCCTTCCCCAAGAAGCCTGCCTTATATCTAAGGTGATTTTTACGACCAGTGTTAGCACAGCATCTGAGCAACTCACACAACTTTAATACATTCATCCCGCACACAGCATATCGAGGCAGTCCTGGTATTCCTACTGTGGAGAGCTATGGGCTGCCCCTACAATCCCAATCTAACTTACTGGGTTAAAAAAACAAAATAATAGTAAACTACAAACTATTTGCATTCTTTCTGGTCTTCATTTGAAGCCATCGGGATGTATTTGAGTCATATTTTCACCTTCTCCCCCCCAAAAGAAAACCACGAGGACTAGCAATGTACCTTTCACTGCAAGCTAATCTCTCGCATATCCCACAGCTCCCACAGCTGGGGCTTTCAAATCTGCGTCCAACACTGTGAGACTAATGACAAAATCATGAGCTGGCAGTGCTGCCTTTTCCTCCAACCTTCATGATCCATCCTCAGGAGCAGGAATTC